CAAGTACCTTCATTTGCTGAGACATATTAAAGGGTCTATGATCAAGCCCCAGTCTTCTCAAAGACAGAAATCAAACATTTTGCGGCAGTTAAGACCAAAAGAAGAATTCAAATTATAGTCCTGTCACTTGTAAATTAGGAATAAATTTTTACTATCTAGTGATAAGTAAACTCCACCAAATAAAAGAGTGTATGTTACTAAAATAAATTCAGTGACTTTTTAAAAAAAGATTATAAAATTGAATTTATTGAGTTTCACACAAGATGCACTTATAAAATTAGTACTGAATGCCATTTTAACAGAAGAAATGAACATCATTCCGAACTCCCAGTATAATCTGTAAAGGAAATGAAAAATCTTCCAAAAATGACAGCATGATAACAGAATAATTCAAACTGAATTGAAAGATACACCCAGGTCAGTCTTGCTCTGATCAGGGCTATGTTTGGCAAAGTTTTCCCCAAACTATTCCCCTTTACCATGAACACTGTTCCTATTAGAGGTGAAGAGAAGATGTAAAAAAGAATAATAATTCTAAAATGGGGCTTCACTGAAACATACACAAAGCAATTAAAAGTGCTGACATTTGTAACTTAAAAATACTTCCTGATTTCACAAAAACATTTCTATACATTTCCTCTTTTACCATATGTGAACATCAATCTTCAGAGTGTTTTAATTAATGCAGAACATTAAAATTCATGTTTGTATTTCAAGTGAACAAGCCAGAGCCCTAAAGCTGGCTTTGTATTTCACGCAGGGAAAAGACAGATCACCTATAACCGACCTTCTGCACATCACATGCCCCAAGCAGAGACACAAGAGCTCCCTCTCTTCAAAGAGGAAACATCAAAGGAAGTAACAGTTAACGTAACATCTGGACATTCAGGAACTGAACGTCAGAAAATTTCTGTAGAAACGCAGAAAGGTTTCTCAAGATAAAACGGGGTAGAAAACAACCTGTCCTATGATGCAGGCCACACGCTAGTAATGAAGCAGAAATGGAACCTTGATCTCATATAAACCCCAAAGCACCGTTTGGTTGCTGCTCCCAGCGTCCATACACAGACACTAATCACACCCGCACACTGCCAATGCCGTGCTGCCCAGCCCCCGGCACCCCTGAGGCGCAGCGCCCTGCATGGAGGCTCTCCTGGAGAGCAGAGAGCCCGCGCCAGGACACGCACGCCCCCCACTCCCGACGGAGACTGAATGCCCGTCAAGCCCAAGCAACATGGTGCTGCCCTGTCCACGTAGAACATTGACTTTAAAACTGTTACTTTAAAAACCCAGTTAGCTGACACCTTTGAACTTCGTACATTGACAATTCTTCAGCCTATTCAACACCAAATCTTTTTAACTGAAACAATTTATGAAGCCATTAATTTTAAAGCGAAACCAGTTAACTATACATTAGAGTTAACACTGCTCTTTTTCAGCATAAAAAGTGCCTTTTAATAAGGAAATTTCTATTGTATCCACTGCAATTAAACAATACATAGCTCACATAAAACTGAATTTTATGAAACATTTTCTCAGCAATGCATAACCTTCATTAATTAGTATTTCTTAAACAAACTGGCTTAGGGTTTTTTCCCCCCTAAATGCTATTAATTATCATATCTTATTTAAGGTATCCTTTTTATTCTGATTCAGATAAATCTTCAAGGATTATTCTGGTGATAAGAACATTTATCTTAAGTTTATTTTTAATGCTTTGGCAGATGAAGAAAAGTTCAAAAACTGTTTGTGAAAACAGTGTGAGACTGGAAAGGTCATGTCACGGGGAGAGCTTCACAGTTTTCCAGGTATATCCTTACACTGGAGAGGCCCTGAGGCAAAGCTCGATGCTCTGGAAGCACAAACAGACAAAGCAGGAGCGGCTCTGCCATTGCCCCCCTGGCCCAGGAGCGGCTCTGCCATTTTCCCTGGAGGAGGAACTCTTCCTAAGATCCATTGAGCTTCCCAGAGCCACGGCTGGAGGCTGCTGCTCCTCTGTGACCCGACCTTCTGCCAGACCACACTGCTGGAACAAAGGTACTAAGATTTGCTCTCCATTAATAATTTAAGTTCTTAAATAAATATTTAAGTGCCACCGTTAGCATCTGTCCGCCCTGGTGGCACTGCATTACTGCCCTAGGCTCAGCGTCTCGGGCGCCTGGAGCCCTGGAGGTCAGTCAATTCGATTCCCGCAGATTGTGAACCTGTCTATGTCTAACAAGTCTTTCTTTGAGGATCTGTGTTTTAATTCAGAGTTTTCCTGTGTTATGTCCTTCTCGTCACCATCTGGAGTTGTCAGAAACTGATCAAAACTGCTTGTCACAAGCAATGGTATAACATTTTCCTTTTGATGAGTAGGCTGGCTGGTGACCGAAGCAGACAAGTTTTCTTCTGTGGAAAAACAGAAGCATTTAATTAGAAAAAGATTTCCCCCACAACTGATAAGAAATATGAGCTTACCAATATAGTGGTACCGAAAAAAAGTCTATTATCCACACTTTTTGATAAAGCAAATGGTAACCCAAGAGCATGTGGTAGAAGCAGCCATAATTTATAATGAAACTTAAGACGCCATGCCATCCTGTTTGCTCATCCATAATAACACAAACAACACAATTACCTGGTTTTGAAAAAATTATGACTCTTACTTAACAAACTGCTTCCTATATAACCCAGTCTTAATATGATTGTTGCCAGACCCCCTAAAAATAACATAGGTTCCTGTACTCAGGGCGCCAGAGCTAAGTAGACTCTGAATACATTCTTTACACATTCTTTACCACTTCATGTGTAGTGACCGTAGCTAGACTTAGACAGCATTTTACCTCCAGGAAGTGCACATGAGAGGTAAAAACAAACCAAACAACAAACCCCCAAATGTGGATTTCTGGCCACAGGGATCCTGAAGCCTGGCCTGGGGGACAGCTGGGCTGGGGCCTGGAGCCACCAATCTCTGAATCGTACATTCAGTCCTAGTAGCAGCTTTCTTGAGGCAGAATGACAGTAAATTGCACATATTTACCTGTATGTATCCATCTCCCTCCTGCCCTCCCTGTTCCCATAATACCTGCTGCTATTTTTTGCTTCTTTTACAACATGATTGCTGCCTTGAGAGCAAGCCCCCCTTTTCATCCTTCAATCGGGCCTGAGCTGCCTGACCTGCAACACCTTTTTGAGTTTTCTCTGGCCTGTGGTCTCCAGCTTCCGAACACCCTACGCAGTCACTCAGACACTTGTCTGAAACATATTTCTTATCCCATGGCTCTGGATCCAGTGGCCTTGAACTGAACTGCAGTGTGTGCTTAATGGTTCTGTCCCTCCATCAGACTGGAGGCTCCCGAGGGCAGGACCGACACTTACCAACACCCTAAGGTGCTAAAGGAGCCTTACCTCAGGGGCACACATGGGCCCAGGACCCACTGTGAATTATCCAGAGAGTTAAAACAAATGCAATCCCGGATTACTAATATCATCTACATGTCCTTTAGAATGAACAGAAATTATCTTCAAGTGATCACACAAGCTTTTATTTACTTTATTTGAATCTTCCTGAGAGGCATCCTCAGTGAGTGCAGCCCTCCCTTCAGATTGGACTCTGGCCCAGCCTCTTCCCAGAGCAAACCCTACACTCAGAATCCGAGCTGCTTGGCCTTCGGGCTGCTTTTCCAGGCCTCCCTCCTTCAGCTCGTGCTGGTCCTTTTCCTGAAGTGCCCTCTCACCCACCTTCACCTGGGCTCTTTCTCCTCTGTCAAGATTCAGGGCAGGCACCACTACCTGCATGCAGGGAGCCCTCCTGTCCCTCCACACCTGTCTGCAGCCTCACTCACCTATGGCATTTTCCACTTTTGTTGTCTCCCTGTCAGTCTGTGAGGCCCTGAAAGCACGGTTTGTATTTCCAGTGGCTCACGTATTATGCGGCACACTGTAGTGCCACATATTTAAAAGTAAACCTTTTAAAAAATTCGCATGACTAAATATTCACAAGAATAGGAACCTACCATCTAATGACAAAATTAAGTCAGTATCCCAGTTTTCCTCTGAATCTTCCAAGCCAGAAACACTGGAATCATCCTAACTCCTCTTTCTCTCCCACACCTCACAACCTCATCAGTGAATCCTGCACTTCCAGAGCCACGCAGAGCCTGCCTGGGCCTCCCCGCTCACTCCACGACCCCTTGCTCTGGGCCAGGCAGCCTCCTCCAGCCTCTCTGCCTGTGGGCTCACCATCCTTGTGTCTTATTTTCCACAGAGCTTCAGAATGACCCTTTTAAAGTGTCACCCCTCTGCTCCAAGCCCTGCAATGGCCCTTCCCACACAGTAAAGCCAAGGTCATTGCAGTAGCCTGCAGGGCTCAGGGTGACCCCTCCCATGCCAAGCATGCTCTGGCCTTAGGCCCTTGCTGGGGTGCTTGTCAGAGAAGGGGTGTCTCCTCTGTTGGGGGAGTTGCCCTAACTCCCCATCACACTTTCCTTTCCTGACCCAGCTTTACTTTTGTTCACAGAGCTTACTGCCTCTGACAGAGTGCAAAGTCACTTATGCGCTTCCTTCCCTCTCCCCGACAATCAGAGGCGCTCTGCCTTTTGTTCCCACTGCCGTCTGCCCTGGACCTGTCATGTGACAGGTGCTCAGTGATCATGCACTGAGCCCTGAATGAATGTACCAACTCAGAGCACTGTGTCAGGTGCATCTGTGATGAGATCTAAAATACAAACATTAAAAACAATAAGCTGAGGGTACTGCGAAGTGCTGACTCAACAGTGGCTTTTCAGAGGGCAAGTTTGGACAATGAACTCTTTAGAACATGATGAAAAGTGGTGAAAACAACCAACATACCTGGAGAAGGTTTACACTTGTTTTGTGATTTACTGGATGGTTTGCCTGGCGTGCTGGTTGGCGGAGGATTAAACAGCTTGTCTTCCATTTTGGCTTCCTTCACATATTGGCATGATTTTCCCAGCAGCACAATGCTATTAAGTACTTTCAGGGATATCAACCTAAAACCAGAGAGACATAAGCACCCGCTGTGGGAGCTCCCACGGGGCCCGCCCTGCCCTCCGGCGGCTAACGGTGGGGGGGAGGGGTTGGGGAGGAAAGGAGCGCCCGGGGCGGCGGGCTGGGTCCCAGATGCACACGTTTCCTGAGGTTTTTGTACCACAAGGGAAAAGTTGTGACAAATTCCTTAGTTATCATTTATAAGAAGAAATTACACCACGTAGAAGTTTTAGCTGGTACTAAACTATTTACCATTTATTCTCTTACTACAAAACAAACACATATAGTAAATACAGATAAAATGAGATGCCTTGTAATTCCACACTCCAGTGCTAATCACTGTGACGGTTGGTATGTTTCAGTTGTTTTGCTACAAAAATACATCAATTTGTACTTCTTTGCTGTTCTGAAATGGGGTCTATTTTACAAGGTAGTGGGGGACTGGAGTTAGGAGCCGGAGCACAGACTCTGGGGGCCAAGTGATGAGTTCAAATCCTGACTCCACTGCTCGGATCCTGTGGACCTGAGTGAGTTTCTTAGCTAGTTAATCCTTAAAAGAGATGATTCCAGTAAGTGCTCAGAACAATGCTTGGCACATAGAAACATCAACCAATTTTGTTAATATTATTACAAAACAATATATCATGAATATTTCTCCCTACCAGTTAATGTGTGCTAATCACATTATTTGAATGGCTGCCTAATATTTTACTTTGTGGGTTATCAAATAACAAAGCCCCCCAAACCCCTTAATTTCTGGATAGTTAGGTTATTTCCAATATTTTACTTCTTTTAAAAAGTTTCTGAGTAGGAAAACTTATGTTGTATCTTTATTGCCTTAAGATAAATTCCTAGGTAGCTATAGCTACTGAACTGGAATTTCTAGGCCAAAAGTTATGTGACATTTTAAGGCCTCTGATACAAATCTGGCAAAAAATCTCTGAAAAAAACAAAACAAAAACAAAAAAGCCTCTTCACACTGGTTACCTTCTCATGTATGGGGCCCTTAAATGACACAGACCCAAGGACCTCGCGGCCAGTTTTACAGCAAGAAGCAGGTTGCTGTTTCTTACGCCTGAGGCGAAATGCGGGCAGCAACAGAAATCACAAGTCAGTGGAGGCACGTCTAAGGAGGGGCCTGGCAGGAGGTCAAAGCAAGAAGCGAAGGTTTCCTCCACTGTTCCCAGTCTCTCTGCTCCAAAACAAAGAAGGCGAACAGGGACCACCTCACGGAGATCCAGGGCCCCCAGGACCTTGCAAAACACTCCCAAATGTACCACAGCCCCAACGTTGCCCGTAGCTCCTCACACACACCCTTCACTGTGTTCTCCAGCTGCCTCGCGGGTGTCTAATAGGCCTGCAAACTTACTGAATCCAAACCACAAGTCCTGATTCCAACTCCAACCCTGCCAAAAACTAAAGGGAGCCCATGTGTATTTCCCAAAGGCTTCCCCAACACAGCAGGTGGCGATTCTGCCACCCTTACTGCTTGGGCCCCAAACTTGGTGATCACACTTGCTGTTTTCCCCTTACACCTCAACATCAGCAAGTCCTGCCCGTCCAACTCTGCTTTCAAAATATCTACCTGGTTGGCAAATTCTGACCACTCCAGGGCTCCCACTTCGATTCCAGCCATAGCCACCCCTCCACGGGAGGCCGCAACAGCTCCTGACTCGGCGGGACCTCTGCTTCTCCTCTTGCCACACACCAGCCCGCTGTGCACATGGCAGCCAGAGCGGCCCTGGCAAAAAGCCAGCTGGATAGTCCTCTTCTGCTTGGGAGCCTCCAGGTGCTCCTCTACCTCAGAGCTGAAGCCCAGGCCCTGCCCGTGGTCCTCTCCCATGGGCTGCGCCTGGACCACTGGCTCCAGTCCCCCAGCTCCCGCTGCTGCTCCGTCAGGCCTGCCCTGTGCCCCCTCTGCCGAGCTCTCTCTTCCCAGGCACCTGCATCCCCCTTTACTCCATCTGGTCTCCACTTAAGTATCAGCTCACCAGAGAGGCTGCCTCTGCCCGCTGCGTCTCTGTCATTCCCCAGCTCCTATACCTACACTGTATTTTTCTTTCTGACATCTGCTACCAACTGTCACTTTATAGTGACTTGCTTTTTCTGGTTACTGTCTGTTTCTCAGGGCACTGGTGTTCTTTTCAGCTGATCCCTAGCCCAGTACCAGGACTAGTCCCTGGCCCTCAGGGTGTCTCTCTGAAGAGCTCTGAACATCAGGGGGGCAGGGGCTGTGAGCCTTCCCTCCACCCACTGTCAGGGCGAGGGAGTCTGGAGAGAGAGGGGAGGGGGGGCACAGCATTTCATGTCAGGAGGTACAGCTGAATTGGTTTTTGCTAAAGGGAGATTCCGGCCTTGGTGGGGTTAAGGAACAAAGATGCTTTGGAGGATAAGGTGGTCTTATCTATGAGAAAGATCTTGGAGGAGGACATGATAATGTGGGTATTACCCTGATACAAGGATAATTAGAATAAATCAGTAGAGGGGCAAGGTCAGTGAACAGATGTGCTCAGCTGGGCTATGTGGGGAGAGGTGATCAGATTTCGGGAGTGAGGTGCCTTGGGGGTTGGGGTGGGGGAGGTCGTGAATGCAGATTAAAGCACACCCACTTTGTGATTTTTGCACAGGCAGCTGTAACTAAACAAAGACGTAGCATACATTTTCAGATGTGGTATATATGTGTTTCACATTTCCTGGTGTATGTCAAAAGAAAAATATGAGAATAATTAGCTCATTAAACAAATATGGAAGCCATTACAGCCAAATAGCTTGAAGGACTTTGGAGGGCGGTATGACCGTTTGCACCAGAAAGATCTCGCATTTTCCAAGGTCAAAGAACTGAAGAGAGTGAACTCAGTAGAAGAATGTCAGATGGGAACAGTACGCAGTCTGGGTCTGCTCGGAATGGCTCTCCTGCTGCCCTCCTGAACAGGGACAGCACTGCCTCGGGCTGCTCAGCAGAGGCTCCAGCAGACCCCATCCTGGAGGCAGGCTCCGGGTGACTCCGACTCAAGTCATTACCGCCAGCATCCTCTCTCCCTCTCTCCCTCTTCTTGAGATACTCGGCTCTGACCGTCTCAGGCTCCGAGCCCGACTCCTCTTGCACCACTGCCAGTGAGCAGGGACAGCGTCCCTTTTTCTGGTTAAGTAAATCTGAAGTTAGGTTGGGCTGTTTCATTATAAATTCACTTCTTGAGAAAACTAACAATAGTAAAACCAGCATTTTATGTTATTTTCTTCATACCACTTACTACTATGTGAATCGTTTTAGTTGTTAACTTGTTACCATTTGTTCCCCGACCAGAGGGGAAGTGACGTGACACCATCAAATTTGTGGGTCAGAGTGCAGCCGGTCACAGGCAGAGAAACTACATTTCTGCATCTCCTTTGGGTTTATATGACACAGGCCTAGAGCATGCTAAAATAATTCATGTGGCAAACAGTAGAAATTCAAAGATCTTTTTCACTCTGTATTTCTATTTTCTCATCCCCTTCAGGGAAAGAAGCAGAGATTACCTAAAGAAACTTCCCTTCTTGGCTTTTGTTTCCAGAAGCAAAAGCCCATTGAGAGTGATGTGTAAGGAGATGGGGCACTTAGCAGGGAAACATGAAAAGAAAGGATTTCCCCAAGATAAAAACAGATTTCTCAGGGTCAGAGGCAAAAGAAAGAGGTCTACAAGTCTACGTGCATAATTCTGATGGAAACAGGGAGAAAGGGAACTATTTTCCAAGGCTAAAAACAGATGATCTAGGTTGGAGGGAGGAGAGGTGTGGTTCCCCTGGCAGCATGAAGAAGCTGTAGGACGCAGGTGAGATCAAGGCCCAGGACTCCCAGCCCTGACATTGCTCCTTACATGCCTAGGGTCAAGCCAAAGCCACAAGCCAATGTATGAATGACATGGGGTGGAGAAGTGTGGGGACAGATGCTTGGTGGCCATCCTGACTCCTAGAACCTGAGCAACAACATGGTGGGATTAACTGAGTTAAAGATGTTTTTAAACACAGAAAAATGTCTGATTATAATGGCAGATTTTGTCACAAAAGAAAATATGGGTGAAACTTAAATCCTAAGCAAGAAGGGCTTAAAGTAACTGATTCCACTGAAGATTAAAATAAAATCTATGGTGTTATTAACACTACTACCAAATAGTGGTATATTTAATTTAAGCAGAATTTAACGAACAAATACATCTGGAGGTCTGTGCTGTTAACAGCCCCCAGGACAGTTAGAATGGGTATAGTATGACTTGGTTGCTATTAACTTGAATTATATCTTGCATTTATACTTTACAGTATAACCAAAAACATATTCAAGAATAATCTTACCCAAAATAGAACAGTATGACGCAGGCATAAGACAGGATTCCTTGCACTTTAATTGAGCTTGTTACAACTCTGATGAGCTAGCCAGAAACAAACCAAAACAACAAAACATACAATCACAATTAGTTAATATTTAAAGAGCACTCCATGCTAATTCTAATGCCCTCAGCACACCCCTGTGGCCTTTGTCTAAACCCAAGCAAGCAGCTATAGATTTGTCAGTTCATACTAAAATCTGGCTGCTTGTGTAACCTTTTGTGCTAGACTTGGATTTTGTTCAGGCAGATCTAGGATGCATGTGGCTAATGCTGCGTTCTGCTACTGTTGACTTTCTGAAGCCAGACACTACACCTCTTTCATGGATGACCTTGTACCTGATGCAAATCAGTGGATTTTTAAAACACAAAATTAATTCAGAAAATACAAATGGATTCATCTTACTGAATGTATCCCCAATAGAGCTAGAACCACTTGGAGGGCATTTCCCTTAATCTTACCTTTTTGCCCTTTTTTCTTTGATTCTTTTTAAGAACCTTCAGTGACTTGCAGGGAATGGGGAGGAATGGGAACCTTAGGAGGTTTGTACCGTTTAAAAAAACCAAATACCATTACAAAATTAATTACTAAAAGGTCAGAAAATTTCTCTCTTTTTGATGTTTATGGTTAAACACCTGTTTTATAATTTACCTCACAGAAATAATCATCCTTGGAAGTCTGAATAAATCTGGTGGACTCTGTCACCAGAGAATGTTTACATAGTGTATAGGTTCAGTTTAATAATATGCCTACATTTTAGGGTCTAGGGAGCCAGCTATATGGAAATGGGAAATCAGGGAAAATAACTGACCTTATCTAGTGATGTTATCATCAAGTAGAAGAGTCTATTAGGGTGTCTTAAATAAATATAAAGACACAGTTAAATGATATTTAAAAAATGCTTTTAATGAAAGAACAATTGTGAGGAAATAGAGGGAATGGACTGTCATATATTCAACAGCTTCAGTGTGAGACGACAGACATGGAGTTCTCATCTCTGTCACAGTCTCTAACGGGGAAATGACCTGTTGTACAAACACTTGTGATGGAAGTAACATGGCTCTAGGATTTTATTCATTAATATGAAAGGCAAACCAATTGTCACACTGAAGGCTTCAGTTACTTTGTTTTCATTTAATATGTTATTAGGTAACTTTAAAATACGTATGTCCAAAATCTAATTTACATGATACTTAATATATGATTTCTTTTATTTTTTTTAATGTGAATTCATTTTAGGACCTAAGGTAACACTTAGAAGGAAACACTGCAACTCTTGGGCCTTAATTAAAGAATCAACTTGACCGCTGAGCCCTCGGAACAGTCCTCACGGCTCCTAGTCATCTGCCAAAGCTACAGTGTCACTTGAGCTCTGTGAGAAAAGCCCTGAAGAAGAAAACCCGCCAGTCACTGTTTACCTACATAATCCCCTTAAAAAATTACAGCTTTTCCAAAAGTGTTTTGTTAATTATTAATTAAGTCTAAGTCTTTCGGTACAACATTATAAAAACTCACTTAAAAGACTAAAACAAAGGCAGGGGGAAAAACTTTTAAATGCTAAATTTAAAAATTCATACTAAAAATGGTTTTCTGGCAAATAAGTTACTAGACAGTCAAGTATTATTTGGCAAAGCAGGGCCACATTTAAATCCAATCATTTAACTGTTCCTACTTTATGAAAAATCAGTCAGGCAACCTAGGTTTATCTTCACACTTCATATACCATGCTTGCAGTTGTAGGAAACAAATGTAGAAAAATCTAATATTCTCTTTTATCAATCTCTTAAACCTTTAACAAATAACTTTACTCTTTAAATTCCTCTGTTTTTTCAAAAGAGAGTTTCCTTTCCCAAGCAAGAGAAAGCTCTATTATCATATAATAAACAAGTTACTAATATAACTGAAAACATTTAGGATGTGGTTGTCTGGAGAGTCATGCTAAGATTTAAATAACATTAAATCTATAAATCATCTATTGAAGTCAGACAAGCTGGTCTAAATGCACTTGTTGATGACCTACAACTTCTTCATACATCTCTAATTGACTTTCAGGGCACTTTGCATCATGAGGAGAATTCTAAATGTTGTTTGGCAAAAACAAGGCTGCATTTACTGATGTGAGGATAGCCAATAAGAAATATAATCAAATACAGGTACAATCAGCAAATCTTTTAAATTAACATTATTACAGCCTCATGTGGCTAGTAACCTTTTGCAAGGCTTTTCTGAGTAACTCTTTAAAATATTTAAAGTTGATGACTATTTTCTTGGTTGATCTAGTAAATTTTGGTGCTATTGTTTTTTTTTAATGTGATATTTACTGAATATAACAGAAATTTTCACTATAAAAATTTTGGAAAGAAGTTTAAAAGTAGCAAATAAATGGATACAGAATGTTTCTTCATTTGAGCATACCATAATTTATTTAATGTATTTCATTTGTTTCTAAATTTTTACTAGTATTAATGCCACTGCAATGCATTACCTTGCTTATAAATCATGTGCCTTTTATAACTATTTTCTTAGGATAAATTCCTAGAACTGGAATTACTGTGTCAAAGCACAATACCATCAAACTACCCTTTAGAAAGGTTGAATCAACTTAAGTTCCATTAGTATCTGTTACAGTGGTCACGCCAATGCCTATCACTAGGTATTTCCATTCAAAAAGAAAAATCTTTGTCAAATAAATAAGCCAAAATGAGTATTTTCATTATTAGAAAACACATTATATAAAACAGTTCCTTACTATCAGTTACCTATTGATGACTCAAAATTTGAAAGGTTAATGCTATGATTTAAAACAAAATTGCCTTCCTAGTCGTTTACCTTTAATTTTTATATCAAGTTCTTCTGAAACAAACTTACTGATAATCCATCTATTAATATTCTGTAATGATGGCTATCTCATTCTAAAAAAGGGGAGAAAGTATGGACTTACCAAAACAGCTAGTGGGAGAGGAATAAACCCCATCCTCCGTGCCACAGAGTCACTGTAATCAGTATATGCCTAGGCAGGGAAAGGAGGAAGTGATTTACAGGATTTAAACAGCATTTTAAAGGTACTATTTCATGCATCACCAGCAAATATTCTAAACAGGCAAGGCTGTGAGCAAGAAGATAACCTGGCCACCCATTATGCAATTGAGTAAAATAATTCGGAAATCTTAACACTCATTGTGGGTTTGAAAATCGAAGTTGCATAACTGTTATAATGCTGCAGAGATCATACCCCCAATTAATGTTAAGTATTATTCATTACTTTTATTAATTTGTGAACGTTTAGTGTCAAGAACAGTAGCAGTAAGTTTAAGTTTATGTAGCTTTCCCTTAACTAATAATATCCCATGCTAACTTAAACTCTGTTCAGTTAATTTCAGACTGTGTCTTTGATATAATGCTCACATTTTTCTGCCGACTGCTAACAAGGTCAAAAGCAAGGCTGGCTCTATATTCACTGTAGACCTAAAGAAAAATAAGGAGGAGATACTAAGTAATATAATGAAAACAACACAATGTGTAAAGATTCAGACTTTATAGATGAAAATGTTTAATAATCAACCAGGAAAAAGGTGCTAATAACCAAGCAGAAATCTCCGTAGTGTTTCTCTGTTTGTTTTCCTGCCGTAAGGATAAAACGTAAGCCTTAATTCACCCAACTGTTTTGTCGACAGGACTTTTAAAGGCTTCTCTTCAAAGAGCGATTAATAGTCAATAATTGTGATCCTGAGAGTTGAGCATTTTGTGAATACTGGATGTTTTAAGTAGTATAATATATATAAAATAATTTTGAAATTTTAAATTAAATGAACAGCTAAAAATTATTACTGTATATAAAACAATAATGACATTTTCTCAGAAAAATGGATACTAAACAAGATAGAAAACTGGGGAAGAGAACACAGTAGTTATGAAGTCACTGTGAATTGTCCTTTCCACTAAAACCTGTACTAGATACCTGAATCAAGTGTACTAATTTTGCCTTCAGATGTTGAGAAAATGATCCCATGAGAAAGGAATCATTCTGTATTGCGGAAGCCAAGAGAATAAATGGTGATATTACTTATCAGTGCTTTACAAAAAAGTGCGAAGTCTTTTTTTTTATTCAAGTGTATCAAAAAGAAATACTCAGAGAAAAAAATCTAACATGTTTTAGATTTTAAATCTTTGCTTTTTGGAACAAAATAAGTATCAGAGCAAGACAAAGCACAACCCAACTAAAATATTAGAAAACTGTTGGAAGTAGTATGAATTTTAGGACTGAGGTAAGGATGAGGAATGTACTAGGAAACTTTCATGTTGTGTATACAATGAACCTACAGTCACATATCCCTTTCTGGAAATTCTACAGAATATCTGCTTACAATATAAGACAAATCTCTCAAAGTTTCTTTAAATACTTTCACTACAAGAATATTAGGCTTTTGCTTTGTAGAACTCATCAGAAACCTATTCAGAATCACAGGAAAAAAATCAATTTTTTAAATATAAAATATTAAAAAAATCTAGCCAGACACAGAAATTTTGATAGTCTAATGTTTTAAATAGAAACACTGTGGATTTTAGGACGTTTAAGTAAACAGATTATAATACTATTAACAGTTTATAATGATTTTGAATTAGTGATTGTCTGACCTGAACTGCTGGCCAATCTATTCTACCACCCAGAAGTATGGAACCAGGACTGTTTAAATGAAATAATATACTTTCAGTATTTTAATAATTTTTAGAAATTTAAAATTATAATTCTAACTTTAAAGCAGAAGTACTCCTTATTCTTCATAAAGTAAACCTACTTTACTGTAATATTAATCAGAAGTCAACGTTAAACATTGAATTGCTTATTAAAACACATACATCTGCGGTAATGTCATTGAACTTGGTGATAAAGGCATGCTTTACAATATCCACAGCAGTCTCTGATGCAATCACCATGCAGACATCTGGAAACAACACCCAGAGATGATCTATAAAGTAAAGGAAAAAAGAGACAATTAAATCTTTTAAAATGAACAGAATCCATAATATCACAGGCTACCAAAGAAATCTGAAATCTCTGCAAGACCAAATTATAATGTTTTCAGTAATAGCAACAGAATTAGTATTCAATTAATTATCAGAAGAGTGTATCAAGTTAAAGGATAATTCATTCAACAAATACTCATTCTGTAGATCTCTGTGCTGAGCGCTACTCAAGGGGCACAAGAGTGGTGAGTGCAGCTGCTGCCTTCCCCAAGGGAGCCAGGGTACTAGCGGGGTGGTAGCAGGTCAGTAGAAAACCCTTTCACTCTACGGCTGCCTCAGTGTGAGAGTAAATCTAGTGGATACACATGCATGCTGAAGTCAACTGAATGATGGTTTCCTTCTTTGATCACTATGCCTTGAAGACACGGATCATTTACTTGCTGTCATATGATATAATTTACCAAATTTGCCCACCTTTACCACATTTATTATAAGGTGAATTCAGTACCAAGTACCTGATTTAAAAACACAAACATAACCTGAAACCTTGGAGGACATAAGAGTGGGGCAGAGCAAGGAAAAGGTTAGAAATGTTAACAAGGAGCTGGGCAGCTGGAGGGTGGGGTGCAGGCCAAGAGGGCCCTACGTGCTGTCAACACGGGGCAGTCTTGGGAGTCTGCCATCACGTTGAGCTTTTGGAAATCAGGGGACCTCTTTCAACAACAAACTCCACCACTTACTGGCTGTATGACCTTGGGCAAGTTTTTTAATTATCTAAGTTCCAGTTACCTCACTCATAAAGTGTCTACACTTCACCATTATGGTAATTAAATAATGATGAAAAGTGTATGGCAATGTGCCTGGCATAAAAAGTAGCTAGTTTTGTTCTATGTTATTTGTGATCTTGGAAAGTTAGGGCAAGTTTCCATAAATGGTATTGTGGTTTAAAAAAAACAAAAGAAATACAGAAAAAAAGTAAAGATTGAAAGAATGGTGAATTCCCCAACTGTAAATGTTCCATCACACTCTCTGCCACAGCAGTGATAAAGGAGACCTAGGAAAATGTGTTGAAAATCACAGTACAAATGGGTATCTGACTTCAAAGGTCCAGCTGTCAGAGGACTTGGGATGACTGGCCTTGGCACAACCATCCTGTTTCAGGATTGCTGACCCCACATGTGCTCTGTTGAGACAAGCCACACATGCCCATTATTCTGCTCCTGTGGACACCTTGTCAGCTGCCTTAGTTGTAAACCAAAAGGATGCACAGAGAATCCAGTGTGTGGAGGATGGGCTTTGCCGCCACAAGTCAGGTAGCCTTTACATCTCTTTACATTAGACCTCAAGCCATTGTAAGATATATCATGTGATCTTATGGTTTCAACAAGAAAATAACTTCTGGAAATACATTTCCCAGATTATCTCATTTTGTATCTGTTTCTCACTTTTCACTGGTACCTGAAAACTTGCAATGAATCAAAATAAATTAACAAGGAGTTATTAAATGCCTATAACATGCATGGAATGGGGATAATAAATAAAATGCAAAGCATGACATAACATCAGACATAAAAAAACCCCTGCGTTACTTAGCCACACGATCATTGCCCACCAAGCTCACTGCAGCACTACCAGGCTGTTAGAATCACCTGTCTATTCTGTTATGTGCAGCCCTATGCAAAGCTTGCCCTTTTTACATGTACCACAGTGCCCAGACCTGTGCCAGGCATGTAGCATCGGGGAATGTTTGCTAAGTGAAAGGATGATGAAAACTCAGGAAATCTCAACAACTTCCTGTCAGCCTTGATTTTGAGATGTGTACGTAATAAAATTTACTGCTTTACATTATATTGCTTTAATTTATTCTTATTCAAAATGATTAATAGGCAGTGAGTAAAAAGCACATGTTAGGAAAGGCAGAAATTCTTCTGGTGAACCCCTAAAATGACAAAGATCTGTCTGCTTAGATAACCCTAGCACACTACAGCTTAAAACAATAAACCAGAGGCTTAGAAGCTGCAGTATTTAGCAGGATCCACTCGCCTACTGAGTACACACCTCTAGAGATGCTGTGTAGTTTACTGGAGATGTTGGACCGAAGACTATAGTATGGCCTCCCTCCACACCACAGAGAACACACCCACTCCATTCTACTGAAACAAGCTTTTCCAATGTCCAATGAGCCAACAGCTAAGTTTTTTGAAGTTTTCTGACGTACTGCTTTGACTCCATGTAAAAGAATGCTTTTTGACTCGAGTAAAATTAGAAGGTGCTCTATGTGTTAAGAGTTACTTACCTGGGTTCCAAGAAAACTGTTCCATGTTTCTTAGACACACTATTAGCAAAAGTACATAATTTGTGAATCGCTCCTTAATATCTGAAAAAAATTTAACATAAATATTGTAGTGTATATAATACAGTTCATGTATAAAATAATTTTTAGTCAGAACATGATGAAATTATTATGTCTGTAAAATAAGTATACTATTTTATATATAGGATGGTACTATATTAGTAAGCTGTTAACTTCTTTCATCAACATAATGTAGAAATTTCAGTTTTCTAAAAACATCAAGAAATATTCAAACCATCCATCTGTTTATATTGAGTCAGATTCTTCCAATGGTCTTTGGGGACATATGACAACTGTTTTAATTTTATAAATGAAGAGAAAAATAGAAGCAGAGAGTAAAATACATGGCTCAGGTAACAAAACCCCCAAATCCCAGACTATTTCCAATCTGGTAAATAATAAGTACACAAGTACCAACCTGATAAATCCTTTAGCTAAGAGAGTCCTAGCATTACAACAGCATTCCTTAGGGTATATGTAGAACTTGGGGAAAAAAACTACCACTAAATTAGGTTTCATGATGATATTTATGGTTAGTTACTAAGTACTCTAAGCTTAGTCTGAGTGAATTCAATAAAAAGAAGTAACTAAATTCCTGCTAAAGGTAACCCACCTCAAAAACCTGTATACATTCTGCTGCCATGTCCCTAATATTCTAGTATCTCAGTAATTTTGTGCCTCGCCATACCGTTTCACATGGGACCCCTACCGTTCCACATGGGACCCCTACAGACCTGTATATGTCAATTTCATCTTCAAGTCCTTCCTCAGATTGTCTTTACTTCTCTCTCCTTATTTCTACCTTTCTCCATGACTCTACAGCGAATGATGTGAACTTTTATTCTATAGCCAAACCTTGGTCTGTATGAGTGAGCTGGCATTTTCCATCTGTGACTTCCCTAACTGCCTCCACTCTTTCCAGTCAGGAGCAGTACCCTCTTTTCCAGAGCAGCTTAGCTGCTGCCCTTATTTGTGAGGGGTCTGAGCTGTACCTTTACTTCTTGAAGGCCAGTGGCCACAAATCACTGTTCTACCATGAACCTGTTTCTTCTGAAACACCATGTTTTGGGGTGTAGGCTCATAGCACAGGGAATGGCAAGGGGAAGAGCACAGGTGCACTCCCCTTGAAGGGGTAACAGAATTGGAAGGAAGCATGTGTGGGGTTTCAAACACACTGTGACTAGTTCTAGATCACATGTTCAATATATTTTGTGATTTCAAGGGGAATATAGATTAAAGGATGCTAAGAAAAGTGTCCTAGGATAATGTCCATCATAATCTTAAGCAATGTAGTCTCTGCTACTTACCTGTAGTGTACTGTGGGACTTAATTCATGGATTAATTAAACTTGTCAGTATACCTTTAGTTGGTATTCTATACAATTATTCACAAAGCTTATCTATATGGGCTAAGTCTTTTGGATTTCTAATTTCCATAAACAATTTAACATGGATATGCACGTTTTTCTGACCCTTCCACTAAGCATGGATAGAAATACTTAGTTCATTACACAATTATGTGGAAAGAAATTACATTGAGAAATTTAAAACATTATCTTAAATAAGCCAACATAATTTTTATGAACTCCAATATAATAAAACAGAAACAAGGAAAGTGTTTAAATTAATCATATCTGATTCTTAGCCACATGGCAGCTGCCAGTACAGGGGGTTATTTAAGGCAAAACAGACTTTAGAAAAGCAGAGTATCTCAAAATACTGTGGAGATTAATAAAAACTGATAAGTTCTGGTAGATAAATGCAATTTGACACTGAAGAATGTGAGGGAGAGTAAGTCTATAATAAGTAAAAAGTAATATCTTTACTTCAAGCTCTCATTTATCAATCTAACTATGAAAATGAGGCTGTTCATGGATATTAAAAAACCACTAGGTTTAATTCTGTACCTTCACAAATTTTTACATTTCAGTGTTTTATGTAGATTTTTTGAAACCAAGATTTAAAATATGAGCCTTATTAAAGTATACTCAAATTTTGAAAAAGCTTCTCCACAATAAAATAAAATCCTATACAAGGAAGTAAAACTGAGAATAGATTCTAATAATGGTAACAATATAATTATTATATAAATAATGTAATCAGAAACATATTTCCATCATATCTCACCTTTAGAACAAGGTTCGATTTGGATTGAACTCTAACATTAATTAAAAATCAAAACTTGTAGCAAAATGAGAATGTTTTTTTTTAACCTTTATTAAGGATCTTAAAAACACTGGGGATGAACGCTTTTAAAATATTTCTGATATTCAGATTATTAAGCTCCTTTTTCCTTGCTATCTTACCACAAATAGGGAGTTACTTCAACATAATTACAGTCACATTGCAAATGTGAAATGAGTGATTAGTTTATTTCCAATAGTCATTCAAATTTAATGTTACACAGGCATATGTCAAGAGTGTTGAGAAGACTCACCCTGAGTGGGAACCTTCCAATCAAGGTAACCCCTGCAGGATCTTTGCGAATACACAGTACACAGTATCAACGGGTAAAAAAACTATGTAAAATTTCACTTCAGAATGCAAATCAGAAAGTCCTATGTTCCATACTCAGCTGGTAATTATATTAAAATGAAGTGGAAAAAAGAATAACCTGTTGTAATTCTAGTTTTTATTAATTAAACTCTATTTCATCTGTCCTTAGGCAATTCCCTAAAATAGAATGTATGGACAGCTAATAGACTGAAAAGGATAGTTATTCAAAAACTTCCAAACATAATTTTCAGCATTAAACCAGCATGAGGTACTGAATTTTACATTATAGATTTGGCAGCTCAATTTCTAAAAGAAATCTATAGGAAAATTCAAAGGAAAAGCAATATAGGTGGTATGTGACGAGCAGTATCCTGCAGGCCAGCTCTCATTTTGTAGCTGCTAATGTGAGAAAAGGAGGCAATACACCCAGGCTTGCCTTGTAAAATGTGGTCTTTAGCGATTCCCTACCTATCTCTTTAATATTTGAGCACATGTAATATTAGAGGGATTGCCTAAGATAGATATTTTTTTCTTACTTGGGAATGGGATTTAAAAGCTATCTTAGAGTAAAATCAAAGTCTTCTAAAACCTGAAGGGAGGTAGAAGAGTGTACAATGCAGATCACCCTGCACTGTGACGTGAACTACTTTACCTCTAACAAAAAATGAAACTTTTTTGGTGCTGATCACTAACCATTTTAAGCAAAAATAAACTACTGACATGCATTGCCTAACCAATATGCCATTGCTCTCAGTGTTTTCTTAAAGTTCAAATTTTGAATCCCTGATCTTTCTAACCTAAGAGATTGTAATTTTAGGGACCTGTTTATTAATTAATTGCATCAACATGCTAGCAAAAAGGTTAGAAACCATTCACAATCCCTCCTCACAATATATACAGACTGAAAACGCTTAAAACTTTATATTTGCATGTCTAGTTTAAAGCTCTATAAAGAGTTTCTACTCAAAAAGCAATATGATTTCTACAACAAACAAAACTCTGATAGTTGAATCAATATATATAGCCTATATATAGTTAACTACTGAAGCTCACAAAAAAATCCAATAATTTAGCCCTTCTCTCCCCAACCCTACCAACTTCCTTCATTTCAAATTCATAGAGCTTGGCAGCAAACATCTGAGAGAAGAATATTGATATATAATAAGACATAGTATAAACTGCTTCTCAACCTTTGAGATCTAAGGTCAAAATCACTGCCTCATAGAATCATCTAGACTTTATTGCTCAAGTTTTTCATTTGTTCTTTCTGTTCCTTGCCTAATTTCCAAATCTCCTGTAATTCTACATGTTTATTTACTTTAATATATTCATATGCCATTTTTTTCCTAGTCTAGTATGGAGGTAAACTTACACACAGTAAAATCATAGCTCTCAAGTGAACCACCTGATGAGCTCTGTTCTGATTATTTTTTTGGTGCTGATCACTAACCATTTTAAGCAAAAATAAACTACTGACATGCATTGCCTAACCAATATGCCATTGCTCTCAGTGTTTTCTTAAAGTTCAAATTTTGAATCCCTGATCTTTCTAACCTAAGAGATTGTAATTTTAGGGACCTGTTTATTAATTAATTGCATCAACATGCTAGCAAAAAGGTTAGAAACCATTCACAATCCCTCCTCACAATATATACAGACTGAAAACGCTTAAAACTTTATATTTGCATGTCTAGTTTAAAGCTCTATAAAGAGTTTCTACTCAAAAAGCAATATGATTTCTACAACAAACAAAACTCTGATAGTTGAATCAATATATATAGCCTATATATAGTTAACTACTGAAGCTCACAAAAAAATCCAATAATTTAGCCCTTCTCTCCCCAACCCTACCACCTTCCTTCATTTCAAATTCATAGAGCTTGGCAGCAAACATCTGAGAGAAGAATATTGATATATAATAAGACATAGTATAAACTGCTTCTCAACCTTTGAGATCTAAGGTCAAAATCACTGCCTCATAGAATCATCTAGACTTTATTGCTCAAGTTTTTCATTTGTTCTTTCTGTTCCTTGCCTAATTTCCAAATCTCCTGTAATTCTACATGTTTATTTACTTTAATATATTCATATGCCATTTTTTTCCTAGTCTAGTATGGAGGTAAACTTACACACAGTAAAATCATAGCTCTCAAGTGAACCACCTGATGAGCTCTGTTCTGATTATTGCACAACCTGTGTCACCATCCCATAGTTAATACAGAGATCAGTTCCATCACTCCAGTAAGTTCCTTTCCCTCCCCTCCCAATTTACCTCTACTCCACAATAAGCACTCTCCTTATTTCTGTCATCATAAATTAATTTTGTTTGATCATAAAGTTCGTATCAATTAAATCACACAATTATACAGTTTTTTTGGTTGGCTTCACTCAGCATAAGGCTTCTAAGATGTATCTATGTAGCTGAATAATCAGTCTACTTTTTCTTTAATTGCTGAGTAGTGTTCCACAGTATGGATGTGCCATAGTTCATCTATTTTTCTTGTTGAGAGACATTTGGGCTGTTTCCAGTTTTGGTCTCCTATGAATAAAGCTGCCATATTTCTTGTCTCAGTCTTTTTGCGACAACATGTTCTCACTGCTGAATTATAGAGTAGGCAAACATTTCATGGTGTAAAAAACTGCTAAAAGGTTTTCGAGAGCAGCTGCAGTATTTTACACTCATAGAATCAATGCACGAGCATGCCAGTCACCCCACGTTGGCACTAACCCCACGTTGGCACTGTTAGCCTATATAAGGAGCCATTCTGGTAGCTGCCCAGTGATATTTCATTAGGGCTTTTTCACCCCCATTTTTCACTGAAGTGCAAATGACAACACGGTGAGAGATAAATAATGTCCTCACAGTCTTATGAAATAGTTTTGACTTTGCAGAGTCCTTTCTAGGATCTCAAGGACTCCCCTACAAGGTTTCCTTGGCCACACTTTGAGAACCAAGACACTACGCTGCTATGATTTTCATAACTATGTAAGAGAATGTTTCCAGGGATAAATTCGTACCTTCTAGATAATTCTGTACCTTCATACTTCACAGAATGAGAAGGGAGGCAGTAAGACGTAACTGAAAGAGCTGAGAAACTAAGAGATAACCTGAGGTTTACAGTAGTAATTCTGCTCTAAGTAGCTATGTGAATGACCTTGGGAAGTCAAATAATTTCCTCTGTGTTTTAGATTCCACATCTATAAAGTGGAATAATATCTGCTACAAAGAAATTTCTGGAACTTCTGTGAAGTTCTGAAAATATGGTAAGGTGCTATACAAATGTTTGTAATTTTTTATTATCTTAAACATCTTGAGATTACAATAACTAAGATAATAAGGAAACAGTAAATATGTCCAGAGGGTAAGAGAAAGCACAGCTTAAGTCAAAGAAACTGCAGCTAACAGGAAATGTGACATTAGTTCCAGAATGAATTGCAAAATAATACCACATAAAATGCTTCAAGTAGAATCTAGTTGTACATACCACTATTTGACATTTGAAAAAGATTGTTCTTTTCAAACTTCTTGAAAACACTTCCTTTAATTTCAACAAACTGAAAGAACAAACAGAAATATTACCTTTATCATTAAACAGTTTAAAAAATGGATATGCTACATATAAAACTTCCTGGAGAAAAAGTAACATTTAGAAAAATAATGTTATTCAACTCAGAATGTTGCTGTTAAAGTGCCTAAAACCTCAAAAATATAAAATAAAATCTCACACTTACATTGTTAGACATCATGATAGTAAGCAGAGACTTATTGTGTGAGTTGAAAGCTACATTGAGAGTTGTTGCTTGAACCATTATAAGAATTGCATGCAAAACTATCAGTAAGTGGCGTCAAGGAAAAAACTTTTCTTTGAATGTTGTATTAGTAGATAATACTATGTAATTTCGAAAGTGAACGAAGGGAGAAAAAATAACTATGCTTTCTAAATCAAGTCTTGCATAAGCATTTTATTATTTTTGTAATTTCCCTATTAGCTACAGAAATATTAGCTTATTCCCTGTTAGCTATATAAATTTGACAGTTAGGATATCTGCACACCATACAAAACAAACACAGGCAGAAATGGACCTCTGTGTAGCCATACACTCAGACTATGAGTCCTGGAACATGGTTGTCTTATTCTTTCTGGATCTCTGGCATTTGGTACAATGCTTGGGAAATAGGCCTTCAAAAAGGTTTGTGAAATAAATGAATTAAATTATGGTAAATACTAAAAGAGACTTAGAAATACACATTCTGAATTAAGATGATTTGCATTCTAATACAGAAAAGAACACAAAGTAAAAGTCTGGAAGTGACTTCCCTCTATGGGTCTTCAGGGGATAGGGAATGTAAGACACTAAGAAATGACAATTAAGATTCTTCATCATATGTCATTGAAGACATCCACAAGTTGCAGAATTATATTCATATTACATATAGAGTAGTTTATTTAAATTAGAACAGTAACTTTTTTACTTCATTAAACTTGGAACAAGCTTTTACTCTCATAAATCTTCCCACTTGTTCTCTTAACTTTCCAAGTATTAATCCAGTTCTTTCAAGTATCACTCTTTCTAGGTACACGTATGTACCTGTACTCAGAGCTTATATACAGTAAAACTTTAATTCTTCAACAGAAATACTTTAAGATGGCGTAGGGAGAATACAATTTCCAAAATTCCTCTCAAACCAATTCCAAATCTTACTTTCAGATAAACTGTATACATTTTAAACCCAAGGTTATAAGAAAGAATTCACAGGCTTAAAGGTAACTTCAAAAAAATTCTATTATAAGTATGAAAAAGTTATAAATCTATGTAAATGTGAAGTATGTATAAATACTTATCCTTTAATTCTAAAATTGTTCTACATAATCAGTTCCACCAAGAATAGCACTATTCTCTAGCCGTTCAAAGGAACATACATATCTGAGGCTCTTTTGATTAATTTACAACTAGCATTATAACCGATTTCTCAAAAGAAAGCACACACTCCATGTTAATTTTCAGGATACATACACAAATGCACACATATGCCTTTAAAGCTAATAGCAAATAAAATAAAATAATGTAGTTGCATTGAGTGTTGGAATTCCATTAAGTCTAAAAGGATACAGACATAGAGAACGGCCATGAAGAAGTGAGGAATCACCCCAATATGGGCTCTTTTTCTTTCTTTAGGCTCTGTCGCTGTCCAGTAGAGAGCATCTAATATGTCTTGTCCAAATGATGAAAACAGACGATCTGCTACCTAAAAATAAAATTTGGAAAGGTGATTTTTGTTTGTTTGTTTTTGGAAACATGTTTTTTAATATTACATTAAAAAATGTTACTGAACTTCAGATGCAACTCAAATATTGGAGCTGTGACTTTGTAAGTCCCACTGGAAGGTAAGCTACACAAGAGCAGGGATCTCTGTTTACTTATCCACTGACATTTCATTATTCTATGACACACAGTGAGTGCTCAAATTCTTGTATTATTTGAATTAGACTTTCTCTAATCAGTTATGTTTAAAACAAAGTTATGTACAGTGGCAAAAATAAAAAGGAGAGGTACATCAAAATCATAGTTCCTCTGGTTTTAATTCTTTAAATTCAGATTCATGATTCAAACTTATATCCTTTAGGACAAACATACCATTTAAACTACTTTATTCACATGTCATATGTATAAACAATGGTGGGTATAATTTGTTTGGGGTTTATTAAAAAGAATATAATATGCAAATTTACTTGCTGAGGACATTTTCTGGTATTGCTCTCCATGAATACCATATGATGAATAAAAAGAAACAAACACACAGACAAAAGAGGGCATCATTCAGGATTCAGCTGGAATGTCACATCCTGAGAGAGGCCTTTCCCAGAACAGCCATCTCTAGTGGCTCCCAGTGTCTATAAAGCACCACCCAGTTCTTTTTGCATCACAGTGTCCCTCATTTCCTGATACAATGCCTCCACATTTACTGTTTCTCTCCTTTCTTCAGAATTTAAGCTCCACCTCGGGATCTTCCAGGTCTAGGACAGTGCTTAGCATGCAGGAAGTGGCGTTCAAATATTTGCTGAATGAAGGACTAATAGCTATGTATTTAGGGAGCTTTTACCAATGCCTGGCATTGTGCTAAGCCCTTTCTATGTACTGTCTCATTTAATCCTCCTAATATCTCGATTTTACAGGTGGGAAGTTGAGGTTTAGCGACATTCTGCAACCAGCAGGTGTGTCCAGGACAATCACAGTCAGTGGAAGAATGGGATTCAGTCAGAGGTAGTTTATCTCCAGAATAGAGCCTTGACTCTTGTCCACTCTGCTTAAATAACACCATCGACTGTAGTTTACAAACTGAACATTATTTATACCATTTCGATCAGTGACTCATGGATCCTTTTTCTTGGCCTATTTTCTAATAACAGTAACAGCACCTTGTAGAGGCCTTTGTACAGCAGGAGGCACCCATACGTCTAGGGGAGGGAGAAGCCCTCATCACCTGCAGCCCCCTGGGGTAAAGGAGAGTAGTAGGTCACTGGCGTAAATAGACACTCAAAGAGCAGAAGGAAGGAGGAGAGCTTTTCTTTCTGTGAGAGGGAAGGGACGGCAGGACGGCTTATTCTGCTTCATGAACATGAACTCTTCTGCAGCCACGGTCTGCACCTTCTTGGTGGGGCAAAGCAAATGCCCAGGCAATGGGCCTAGAATCAGGAAGCTGGGGTGCAGTTTTAAATTGCCTTGGTCAGTGAATTAAGGGGTAATCAGGAGAGTTAGAGTCCTATCACTTCTGTGAAGAGTTGGAGAGCCCCACCTTCCAGAGAGATGCAGCTTTGGAGCAGAAAGGCCAGAAGCCCCCAGCAAGCCTATCTGTCCACTCACTAGGAAAAAATCCCTTCCTGGCTAATTTAAAAGGTAAGTAGCTTGTACCTTCTGTCTCTAAAAAGTGGTATAGGAAAATGCAATATGAATCTCAAAAGTTTATTACATAACCTAGGGTGGCTTACTATTTAAAAAAACTTTTTAAGATACTGCCTATCAAAGCAAACCATGTTTTTGCTTTGTATAATAACTTATTTTTTTGTATAAAGATAGATTTCACATGCTGATGGCTTTAAAGTGACATATATTATATTAAAAATGTTAAGTACTTAGAGAAATTGGGAAACATATTTACTTGCTCTATGTAAAAATTTCAAGGCAATTTAAGGTGTAAATCTATGACAGCAAATATATATATATATATAAAACTCTAACATTTTCTTTGTAATTTTTAAAGTTCTAGCAAAAGTACATCTAGCAAAAGTTTCCAATGAATTTGCAAAACAAATTTCCCTACATTTGACAATTTATATTCTCAAGGTACCGACTCAAAAACATTTAGGCAACAGGCACCCTTCTCTTCTATTGAGGGCACATCAGCCCCGGGGACCTGATGCTCTAAGCGTGTCCCAGGGCCAGCAGTACAGGCACCACTGCATTAGAGATTCTTCAGCCTCAGCTCAGATTACTAAATCCGAATCTGCCTTTTAACAAGGTCCACAAATGACTGCATGCAGACCAAAGGCCAGAAGTCCCACTCCTCAAGTGGGAAGCAAAGCACTCTGTGCAGGAAGGCCTGAGGCTGGGTGCGCCCAGCAAGTGTGTGCAGGCTGGCGGCTGGACTGACTCACCTCCAGCATGTTGTAGATGATGTAGAGCTTGATGACCGACTGCCCCCGTATCAGGTGATACATCATGGAGTAGTCGACATAGTGCAGCATGAAATAGCAGATGACCAAAATGATGCCCTTCAAAATGTCACACACCTGGGCAGGCTGAAGCAAGCGTCTGTCCCTGAAACAGATAAGAAGTAATAAAACCATGAGTTTTACTTGGTCTCTAAATACATAAGCTTTACTGGACATACACTGGCATTCAAAGGTAATAATGGAAATTAGGTTGGTCTTCTAAAAACAAACAAGTTATACTAACTACTCAAGAGGATGAAATTTTCTGCCCAAGTACAGACTAGAAGGATGTGAAACGAGAATCAGTGTTAAAAGTGGGCAAGCTTACCGAGTGAACGCAGAGGGCAAGCATCTATTGACAAGTTGCCTTAAAAGCACTGGAGGTATACAGTGAGGACATAAGCCCTGCACCTCCCCGTGAAGCCCTGTAGCTCACTGGATGAGCCCTTTTTATACAGTGGTAGCACTTCGTTCTTTTCATTTGACAGAATGACAGATTTTTCCACACCAGCTCATTTCATAGTCCATGGTGGTGTAGTAGTCCACTGAGTGGAAGCACCATGATTTATTTCACATACCACTGACAGATTTTCAGTCTTTTCAACTGTAAATCATGATGCAACGTGTGTGTCAGGCCTCATATTTGAAGTATACCTGTAGGATAAATTCCTAAAATTGCAATGTCAAGGTTATACTTGCTTCATGTTTTGGCAGAAGTAGCTGAGCTGCCCTTTGGCAGGTGTACCAGTTTTTGTATCCACTGGCAACTGGTGAGAAACCTTCAGTCAGCCTGTGGGTTTGGTCACCTTTTGGATTTTTGCCAATCCCACTTCTGAAAAATCCAGTGCAGATTCAATGTTAATTAGGAGACTGACATCCTCTTTATATAATTACATTATTTGTACTTTCTGTGAATTCTCTTGTATCTTTTTTTTATTTGTTTGTAGGACAGCTTTTATATTACAGAAGTTAGCCCTCTGTGGCAAAAATTGAAGGGAGTTTTTTTCCTAATTAATATGAGCAGAATCATTCTTTACTTTTGATGAGGTTCAGGGTAGGTTACCCCAGAATATGCCAGTTTGGCATACTGATTGCTTTGAATTAAAAGTTTCTTAAGAAACAGCCAGTACAAGCTTCCGCTGTCCTCCTGAAAGCAGGAAATATGTCTCCCCTGTGAAGGGTCCCCTCCCTGCACCTGAAGGGAGAAGGCTTCCTCATCTCCAGAGAGGGGGACGTTAGGGCAGAGAAGTCTGCATAAACAACCTTGTTTTTTCTTCAGCAATTTGCTACCCGAAGCTCAAACTTCTTTGTCTTGTCAATTCTTCACAAATTGTTTCTTTGTCTAAAAGGTTTAAAAGCTGCATGCTTTGGTCATCTTTTTTGGTCTCATATTTTTATGAGGTCTTTTACATCTGAAATTAAATGTTTTTCTCTATTTACTCTTATACATCTGAAATTAAATGTTTTTCTCTATTTAATTTTCTACACTTTAATTATTAGACCAGCCAAAAGAACCTAGAAGGGAAACAGCAACATCTTCCTCCCCTACACTTCCCAGGTCAGAGTTATGAAGAGCTAAGCCTAAATTGTGAATGGAAACATCTTAGTAAAACGCAGCAAAAAAGAGAGCCGACAAGGAAGATTTCTTTCACTGGATATCAAATTCCTGTGACAAAAATGGAAAGCAGCTTCCCCTAAGTCTGTTGTAGGCTGACTGCTCAAGGCAGAAAATGCTCAGTCTACTGTTTGGCAGCTTTTATGTATAGTGCCACCAATGAAAAGCCCTGAGTATTTTCTTAAGGAACTGCAGAATCTCTTCATTTCCACCCACTGCGACAACATTCGAAACATTCTGGCAACTACCTAAGGGGTGAGCTCATTTTCTGGCTGGCCTTCATCACTGGGGGCTATGTGCTTATTCGGTACTCCTTGGCTACCTGTTCTTTGGAGCTGTTTCCTAACCCTTGTCCACATTCACATCAGGGGCTCTCTTCTTCCAAAGATCCTTGCAGAGTTCAGCAAGGAATCTGTAAGTCTTCCAAACTGTCCCCTAACACACTGCTTTAAAACAACACTGAACCGCTCTTCACAAATGAGGCTTGCCCTACCAACTCTGCGAGCAGTTGATACTGACCCTCATTCTGGTTTTCTATAGTGCATACTGCACATGGTTTTCCGTCAGGTATGAACTAGATTTGTTCAAAAGTCCTGAACAGAGGCCAATTCTGTAAACTGTCCAGGAAGGGCTAAAAGTAGATGGGAAGACACTTGGCTGAACCAGAGTCTAAACGGGGAGAAGCCCAGAATTTGTCTAAATCAGACCATATGTTTTGAGATGGGCGCCAATAAATTGATGAATGAGTGAGATCATCCTTAGCAGTAGAAGTCTGGGGAAAAACTGCATCAAACAGAAAGCTGGTCCGTCTCCATCACCATTTCCCCTCCCCCTGACCTTTTTTCCTGCCAGGCAGCCTCTGCCCTTTTCTTCTCATGGAACCCAGAGTGAGCCTCCTCTCCCATCCTCCAAACACCCAGCCCAGAACACAGATCTCTGCCAAGGGCTATTCCACTATCAAGTAATCCCCTGCCCCCACCCCCACAAGATTTAAACTGGAAGAGGTATAACATTTGTCAAGAGTTGGAGCGAAACATATTTCAATTCAACAATGAGAAGAGGAGACACTGAGCATTCTTGGCTCCTGGCCTGTGCACAGTGACTCCCTGGGGACAAACTGAGGCATCAGCACACAGCGCACCAACCACCCACCTCCTCACAAGTGTGGGCACAGCTCAGCATACTGAAAATCTCACATCACCAACGGTCAAGGGTCTCTGCATTTAAGAACCATAGGTCATGTTTTACGAATTACAGAAAATGATAGGAACTAAAAGTAGAGTAGTATTAATTAATTTACATGAATTACCAAAGTGATTTTGATAACTAAGTAGAAACCATATTTAGAGCTTTTGTTACTTGACTGGCATCTACTTAGATAAGGGATCTCAGGAAAAGCAATTCTATTTAAGAGATAAAAGGCTTTTTAATATATATATATCCAATCTTACATCTTTATGAAGATATGTAACAAAGGACCTATAAAGATATACAAACATGTTATATCTATGAAATATTATGTGAAGGAATAGTATTGTTTAATGTACATCATTGGTGGAAATCAGAGCTACCAAACAGGGAAATAGATATTCCAAAATAATACAATACCACACATTTTGAACGATGATGATTAAAATTTTTAAATTAAGCAAAAATGACTTTAATGTAGCCTTATCTTCCCTAGGATTAAGCCACGGTGTAAAAACAATAGAAAAGTTGTAGAAACACCTTGTGCTACAATTCACTACAGTGTGGCAGGCTCCCCTCTAGGCACCACGCATATATTCATTTCAGTTTTCACAGTAATCCTATGAGGAAGGTACTATCACCTCCCAAGTTTTACAGATAAGGCACAGTGCAGTCAAGAACATGCCTGCAGCTGTACAGTTAAGAAGTTAAGAAGTGGTGGAGCAGGGCTCTGAACCTTGGCAGTCTGGCTCCAGAAGGCATGCTCTTTACTGCCATCTACCATTCCAGACTTTTCTCTAAAAGAACTTGTAAACTTACAGTAATCAACAACTCAGTATCTCTTCTCTTTCAGTATAATTTAATACTATATAATTTACCAATGTACTGTCATCTCATTTGGAACAATTGAGCAAATACATCTATCATTTGTGTTCTTTCCTTCTTAAAAGAGAAAAAATAGGACTATATTCATTGGATCCACTGCCTTCTGTGTATTCCTTGCTCTGGTGAAAAGCCCCTACTGCTAGCCAGTATACTGCTGATTGCTAAGGAGATGACTGATTTTCAAAATTAAGGAGTATTATTCAAAAAAAGAATAAAACAGGCAGAACTCTTATGAAACAAGGGTCTCGTTTTAATATAAATGTTCCTATTAATAAAACAGTAAATTTGCAAAAGTAAAAAAACTGTTTCTAAGGTGGCATCTTAAAAAACATCTGTACATATCCTAGCATCTCTGAATAAGAAAAAGACTGAACCTCAAAATAAGTTCACCTGGTTAAAACTTGAGTCAGTCACAGGATTAGTTTCCTTCTCCGCCAGGATATTTTTAGATGATTATCTGATAAGTATTTCCAACTCCATAAGAAGCCTATCCACAGCCCTGCCAATCAACTTTGAAGTGGCTTTTAAGCAACATTTTCAGGCTGACGTCCTTTCTTATAAATACCTGTTAAGCAGTAGTTACTGGCAATTCATTTTGAAAAATGCTAAAAATCCCATTGGACAAGGTGAAAAACCTACTAAGAAAGTAATATTAAACAAGATTTCCAAAAGAACTTTTTTTTTCAAATTAGGCTACTTATACAGAAACCAAATTTTCTACATTTCCAAAGTTCATCTTTTACTCAAATACTTCCATCAGACTTGCACAATTACCAGTTAAAGTGTTTCAGCTGTTTCAAAGGGCCCACAGATTTATGGGAATACAACAATGGAGAAGACAAAGATCATTAAAGGCAGGCTTTTTCCTCTCCGTCTCTAGCAGAAGATAATATGCTATGATTAAAGTAAAAACTGGTAGCAGAGAGAAAAGTCAGGCAGAGGAGCAACACAGATGAGCAAGAGAAACTGGATTATCCCTGCCTAGTTCATTTCCAAATTGACGTTGAAACATGCCAAGGTATCAGGATGAGGTATTTCATTACAAAATACACAGACTGGGCCTTGCTTTCTATTTCCCTTTCTCTGTCTCTTTAAACATCTAAACTATTTTGGTAAAATTTAAAGAATGAACAAACAAGCACTACTGAAGTAAAAAATGTGATATATTAAATATGGTTCCCTTTTTCTAAAAGAGAAGTCCTTTCATAATTTTAAAGTGAATTCAAATAAAGTATTTTGATCAACATACTTTCCTTAATTAGGAAACAGTATCTTAAATCTTGTTTTCCTGATACATAGCAGAAAAATAACTACTAAATGCTTAAGCTGAATGATTAAAGTTTTTCCTTGGTTTTAAAATAATGTCAAACTACACTAGAAAGAAAAAAACGACAACTGGTTTAATAAAGCAATGTTCG